GGAGGTGTGTTCAGATGTGTGCAGGTGTGCTCAGGTGTTCAGGTATGTGCAGGTGTGTTCAGGTCTGTTCAGGTGTGTGCTGTGTGTGCAGGTGAGTGTAGGTGTATTCAGGTACGTGCAGATGTGTTCAGACGCATTCAGGTATGTGCAGGTGTGTTCAGGTGTGAGCTGTGTGTGCAGGTGGGTGTGGGTGTATTCAGGTACGTGCAGGTGTGCTCAGGTGTGTGCCGTGTGTGCAACATCAGCAGCGTGTGCAGCACCTGCAGCACCTGCACAGGTGCAGTGAGAATGTGCAGGTGTGCTCAGGTGTGCTCAGGTGTGTGCAGGGGGTGTGGCACGTGCAGGTGTTGTGGCCATGGTGTGCAGGTGTGTGCCAGGGTGAGCAGGTGTGTGGGCAGGTGTGTGCTGTGTGTGTGCAGGTGTGTGCAGGTGTGCACTATGTGTGTCCATGTGTGTGCAGGTGTTCGTAGATGTGTGCAGGCGTGTGCAGGTGTGTGCAGGTGTGTGCAGTGTGTACAGGTGTGTACAGGTATGTACAGGCGTGAGCAGCATGTCCGTGTGTGTGCCTGTGTGCACAGGTGAGTGCAGGTGTGTACAGGCTGTGCAGGTGTGTGCAGGTGTGTGCAGGTGTCCCCATAGGTACACGTGTGTCCCTGCATGTACAGGTGAGTGCAGATGTGTACAGGTGTGTACAGGTGTGTACAGGTGAGTGCAGGTGTGTGCAGATGTGTACAGGTGTGTACAGGTGTGTACAGGTGTGTGCAGGCGTGTGCAGGTGTGTGCAGGTGTGTGCAGGTGTGTGCAGTGTGTACAGGTGTGTACAGGTATGTACAGGCGTGAGCAGCATGTCCGTGTGTGTGCCTGTGTGCACAGGTGAGTGCAGGTGTGTACAGGCGTGTGCAGGTGTGTGCAGGTGTGTGCAGGTGTGTACACGTGTGTCCCTGCATGTACAGGTGAGTGCAGATGTGTACAGGTGTGTACAGGTGTGTGCAGGCGTGTGCAGGTGTGTGCAGATGTCCCCGTAGGTCCACACGTGTATGTGCAGGTGTGTAGAGGTGCGTGCAGGTGTTCCTGTATGTACGGGTGTGTACAGGTGTGTGCAGGTGTGTGAAGGGTGTCGCTGTATGTACAGGTGTGTACAGGCGTGTACAGGTGTGTGTAGGTGTGTACAGGTATGTGCAGGTGTGTGCAGGTGTGTGCAGCGTGTCCTTGCATGTACAGGTGAATACAGGTGTGCTCAGGTGTGCACAGGTGTGCTCAGGTTAGTGCAGGTGTGTACAGATGTGCACAGGTGTGTGCAGATGTGTACAGGTGTGCTCAGGTGAGTGCAG